GTGGACTCTCTGGTGTATTTGAAGATTTGACTTGGAAGCAAAACATTTTCCACATGGCTGGCATTTGTATGGTTTCTCTCCTGTGTGTACTCTCTTATGTTTCTCAAGCTGTGACTTGCGAGCAAAAGCTTTCCCACACTGCTGGCATGTGTATGGTCTCTCTCCTGTGTGGACTCTTTCATGGTTCAGAAGGATTATCCTCTGAGAAAAACATTTCCCACACTGCTGGCACATGTATGGTTTCTCTCCTGTGTGGACTCTCTGGTGTATTTGAAGATTTGACTTGGAAGCAAAACATTTCCCACACTGCTGGCATTTGTATGGCCTCTCTCCTGTGTGGACTCTCTGATGCTTTGAAAGGACTGACTTGTCAGCAAAACATTTCTGACACTGCTGGCATTCGTATGGTTTCTTTCCTGTGTGGATTCTCTGATGCTTCACAAGGCCTGCTTTCTGAATAAAACACTTTGTGCACTTTTGACATTTGTAGGGTTTCTCACCTGTGTGCAGTCTCTGGCGGTTCACAAGATGAAAACTGTTACCAAAACATTTGCCACTCTTGCCATATTTATATGGTTTCTTGCCTGTGGGAACTCTCTGGTGCTTCACAAGGCCTTGTTTTTGAGCAAAACATTTCCCACACTGCTGGCATTTGCAGTGGTTTATCCAGTGACTCACAAAGTCTCTGTGCACTTTTAAATGTTTCATAAATAGTGAATTGTATGCAAAGCGTTTCCCACACTTCCAGCATTTGTGTGGTTTCTTTACTGTATGGGACTCTTGGTGGTTCACACTGTACAATTTGTAATCAAAACCTTTCACAGAAATTTCAGACCTAAAATGTTTCTTTACAGCATGGGGCGTCTTGCAAGGCACAAGTGCTGTATTCTGAGGAAAACCTTTCCTAGATAGATTATCTTTGTAGGGCTTCTCTTGGATATAACTTTCCTCTTCTGAATGTTGAGCTTGCTTAGTAAGTTCCAGTTTTTGCCTAGAATACTTCCTAAACTTAGCACATAGGCATGTTTTCTTCTGGTTTTCTGCTGTGAAGAAAACCAGAAAATAATAATGTGTGAAAAAGCATTTCAGAGTATGAGGAACAGATTAAAGCCATACAATCTTAAAGACAAATGAATCATGACAACAAAAGAAGAGATGTTATGCTCCCTCTTATGCCTTAGATCCAGATTATCTGATAGCCTGCATTTCCCCATAAGAGCCTGCCTGAGCCTTACGATTTTCAGAGGAGGGCTTTTTCTATCTCACCACCCTCCAGCAGATATTGACCATAGAGTGGCACTAGTGATCCTCTAGATGCCTAAAGAAGCCACCTGCGGAGGTCTTCCGTGTGGGAATCATAGAATCATAGAGTTGAAAAAGACCACAAGGGCCATCCAGTTCAACCCCCTTGCCATGCAGGAACTCACAATCAAAGCATGCCGAACACATGGCCATCCAACCTCTGTTTAAAAGCCTCCAAAGAAGGAGACTCCACCACACTCCAAGGGAGTGTGTTCTACGGTTGAATAGCCATTACTGTCAGGATATTCCTCCTAATGTTTAGGTGGAATCTCTTCTCTTGTAGCTGGCATCCACTGTTCCGAGTCCTAGTCTCTGGAGCAGCAGAAAGCAAGCTTGCTCCATCATCAATATGACATCCCTTCAAATATTTCAACAAGGCTATAATATCACCTATTAACCTTCTCTTTTCCAGGCTAACCATACCCAGGTCCCTAAGTCTTTCCTCATAAGGCATAGTTTCCAGACCCTTCACCATTTTGGTCGCCCTCCTCTGGACACGCTCCAATTTGTCAAGGTCCTTTTTGAATGTGGTACCCAGAAATGGACACAGTATTCCAGGTAAGGCCTGGCCAAGCCCTTGATCTAGATATTATACTTGTCCCTTGATCTAGATATTATACTTGTATTGATGCAGCCTAGAATTGCATTGGCCTCTTTAGCTGCTGCATCACACTGTTGACTCATGTTCAACTTGTGGTCTACTAGAACTCCTAGATTCCTTTCACATGTAGTCTCATTAAACCAGGTGTCCCCCATCCTATATCTATGCATTTCATTTTTTTGCCCTAATTGTAGTACCTTACATTTCTCCCTGTTGAAATTCATTTGTTAGCTTTGGCCCAGATTCCTAATCTATTAAGGTCATTTTCAATTTTGATCCTGTCCTCTGGGGTACTAGCAATCCCTCCTAATTTGGTGTCATCTGCAAATTTGATAAGCATGTCCTCTATTCTTTCATCCAAGTCTTTGATAAAGATGTTGAATAGTGCTGGGCCCAGGACAGAACCCTGTGGCACCCCACTTGTTCCTCTCTCCAGCCCCAACAGGATCCTTCTTTACTGAGCACTAAACCCCACTGGACTCAGGTTCAATTGCAGCTCAGATAGGAAGCTCCCGTTCCTCAGACTTTTTTTTTTTTTTAACAAATCCTCCATTCTCAGTAATCCTGCTCTGTGTATCTGAGAGCAGGTGCCCCAGGAAGGCCTGAATAGCCAGGTGCTTGTTCCAAAGAAAGACTCAATAGCATGAACATATATCTAGCCATTGCACATCAAATGAATGAAACCACCACTTAACAATTCTTAAACAACTCTCAATCAAATGCTGGATGTGTAACAAACCACAGACACTATAGACACAGATATGGGACTTACTAATGCAGCTGTAAATAGCAATTCTGAAGTGACTTTGAAGCAACCATCTGAATGAATTTAAAATAAAATAGTGGAAAGAGTGAAAAAGAGAGCAGAGGATGTAGAAGGAAAAGAAGGCAAAAGCGGGGAAATTATCAGGGAGTAGAGACTGTGGAGTGTGTAAGTGTCTACAATATGTCAGAGAAAGGAAACACACCCATAAGAGCTCAAAAAGGATACCCAAGAGGAAATGAAATGAATGGAAAAAGAAAAGAAGAAGTAAAATGAAACATATGTTCTGACATAATGAAACACACAGAAACAAAGAAATACACAAACTGATAAGAATAACCTAATCTATTGAATATTTGATATGTTCAGGATTTACTTAAATGACAAACTGACTGGTTAACATTTATAGGTGGTCTATTGAAAAGAGGGTGTGGAATGATAATTTAAGGAGGGCATAAGGAGACTAAGTGAACTGATTATAAAATACAAATGTATAATTATGAGGGGGGATCGGTGTTTGCCTCTTTCTATATTTTTGTAGTTTGAATAATCAAGATTGATATCAATTAGTGATTTAATTAGATTGTAGGAATTTAATGAATTGATTTATGGAAGTGAACTGATTCAATTAAACTGAATGAATTTACTGTGAAGAGATAAAAACAATTAATGAATTTAGGGAATAGAGTTTATAATAATGTTCATTTAATATGTATTCATACACATTCATTGTCAATTATAGTTTATCAAATAACATATAGAATATTTCATTCTCAGACTGTTTCAGAAATATCCTATTGATTTGAACAGCTTTAAAGGATTTTATTAACTGTAGACATATTGAAGTTAATTATATATGTATATACAATAAGAATAAGCAAAGTAACAGGACTGTGATAGAGATATTGAATAATTCATTTGAAGTTGCTAAATTATTGATTTAGTTTGAAGAGTGCAAAAGGGAATAAATTGAATTGAAAATTATTTTGAGATAAGCAAAGTTTATTGATAGCTTACAAGGAGAGGGAAAGGAAACGAGATACTGTATAGTACTATATAGTAGGAAAATAATAGGAAAACAAAACTAAAAATAGCAATAATATGGCTTTAGGCACAAGAAGGGCAATAGTGCAATCTAAGATGCAAAC